CCAAGGACCTGTCTGTTAATTAAATGCCGTAACTTATCTTTGGCTCGGAGTGTGCTTGGGTGTGGAACGAGTGGGGTCAGAACACCTATCCATAACCCTTTGATTATTTTTGGAAAATCTTCCTTTTTTCCCCTCTGTTCTATTGTAAACTTAAGGAATTATCTACGGTATTTGATTCTTAGTACATTACTATCTCTTCAGTGTTTTTATCTTCTTGTAACTTGTTTTTATTTGTTTCCTCCACTACTCCTTCAAATTTCTCATCTGTTTTCTGAATATTATGTTCATCTTTTCCCACTGTTTGTTGAGGATCTTTTACAATCACATCTTTTATCTTTGAACTATCCCATCATCGCCTTATGATTCTTTGTCACATTTTCATAAATACTTTTAAGCATCACTAACATTTCTTCAGAGAACATTATTGTCTCCTGTTCGGTCATTTTGTGCCAGTTTAATATATTACAAATTACTCAATACCTGTAATATTACAGTATCCTAATATCTAAAAACTCAAAAGAAGTCAATTATTAATAAAATTTAGTCAATCATAGAATTATTCCTTTAAGTCCCCTAAATTTCTATTCCTTAAAAGCTATAAATTGATAATTTACAGTCTTTAAAATTTTCCAATTTACATCTTCCCAATTATCCAAATTTAAAAGTCTTATTTGTTTTTTTTCCCCTTCTTTTTTTCGCTTCTATCACCTTTCTTCTTTTACCTCATAATATATTCTATCAAGTAGCATTAGTAATCCAAATCCAAATCAGCCCACCAAGTTTCCTCAAGTCTTTCAAATTCACCTTCTAGTAAACAATTTCAGTAGGGTTTTAGTTATTCTCCTGTGCGCTGTTTGGAGAATCCAAGCATGGTATCAGTATTGACTTCATTTAGTAATCAGGAAAGAAAACCACCGGACTCCATTTGAATTGAAATCAAGTGTACTTTTACTAATTATAAATGAACAGTTGCAAAGCAAAGCTGAGTCTGGTTAATTAGGTGTGAAAGTGGATAATCTCAAGTGCAATTCAATCCCCTCCCCTTGGCACCCCAGTCCATAGTCCAATTATAATGCACCCAAGTGTCAGGTGGGAGATAACTTCAAAAAGTCTCATCAGGATGGAATGCTGGACAGTTAGCCTTGCCGGGAAACTCCCTTCTTCCACATGCGCAGTAACGGTGGTCAAATCAGCGACTAGAAACTTCCTCNTATATATATATATATATATATATATATATATATATAAACTATATACTGAATTTAAATACAATTGCCACTAAGTATAATTGAGTCATTAAGTGAGACATCACCTGACCCAGTGGTGAGTTCCGGATTCCGTTCCAACTAGTACGGTTGGAACGGGGCTGGTGGCATCCACATGAATGCGTGCAGCGTATGTGCACATATGTGCAGCATGCACATGCATCTTAGCGCCTCTGCGAGCCTCCGCAACACTCCAGTTGCTCAGTGGAGCGTCACGCAGGCGCTGTATTCGTCATGCTCGTGCGCGGAAGCACCAAAGACTTAAAAGACATGTAAGGAGCTTGGGCGGGTGGGTGGGCGGGTGGGCCCTCCAGAGCACCAGACCGCAATGGTATCTGGTGCTCCGGGCAGGCTCCGGTACGCCTGTACTGGGGTATACCGCCTGCAACCCACCACTGACCTGAACATGACTTTACATCTTCATTGTGTATTAACTCTGTTTGTAACAAGCCACTTGGGAAGAATTGGATGTATGTTTGTGTGGTTATTGTGCTTGCAGGCACTTGGCAATCGACTGTAAGTGCTAATAGGTTGCCAGACATCCAGATCATGATCACATGATTGCATCTAGTAATCCCTAAAAATTACCACAAGTTAGTCCGTCCTTCCTTCCTTCCTTCCTTCCTTCCTTCCTTCCTTCCTTCCTTCCTTCCTTCCTTCCTTCCTTCCCCCTCCTCTTTCTGGCAGTCTTGGTCAAGTCAGTGATTTGATTTATACTGATCAGTTTATAATTCTGTTAGAATAGGTGTTAATTAGAATCTGTTTGGAAATCTGAATCTGAGACTCATAGTGCTTGCATATGGGGTCATGATGAGGAGATGATATTTCAAAATTACCCTTTTTAGGTGTGAAGAGTTCAGAAGCTCTTCTAATGGCCATACGCACTCTAGTTGACCATCTTATATGTTGACCTGAGCATTGCACAATATGCAATGGGACCAAAAGACAGGGGACATCTGTCAGTTCTATAATATCTAAATGAAGAGACAGTGTCCTTGGTAGATGATCACAGTCAGAAACACCAACTGTTGTAGGGTCTCTTAGAAAATTCACAAGTCCTCAAGCAAGGGCTGTACCATCTATTGTGCTCAAATTGAGGACAGACCAATATGTAAGCTGCCCTGTCATGTCCCTTGGGTCAGTACCGTTTAGGATATGTAAACTGAGGTTGCTAAAGCATTTTGCAAGACAAAAACCTGTGAAGTTAGATTTTGGACGTTTGGATTGGTGGCTCTCCAACAGTGGAGGCAAATATACTGGAGGATATTTATGAGGTTTGAACAGCAATAGCAATAGCACTTAGACTTATATATTGCTTCACAATGCTTTACAGCCCTCTCTAAGCAGTTTACAGAGTCAGCATATTGCCCCCCAAAAATCTGAGCCTTCATTTTACTGACCTTGGAAGGCTGCTGGCAGTTGGCAGTCAGTAGAATTAGCCTGCAGTACTGCATTCTAACCACTGTGCCACCACAGCGCTAAAGGGTCTAATCATTGTGGTCAAATCTTGTATTAAAATCTCCTTCTACAATTATTATTATTGTTATTAAATTTATATGCTGCCCACCTCATGGTTTAAGGCAACTCTGAAATCTACTTGTGGATAAATTATCATCAGCTTGAATTAGTAATTTTTTAAGCATTGCCAAGTTTCTTTACATTCAGCCTGAACTTTTGAGGGGAGTAAATATATGGTACATTTATCATTGGAAATAAGCAATGTTTAAAATTTACCAAGGTTGATGTTGCAATATTCCTAAGTGAATTCAACTCAGCGCAGCATATTTTCAATTTGGTAGAAATGAATATAGTCAAGCCTCACTTCGCCTTCCTTTTGGTGCAGAAGCAATTGCATCCGGTAAGGTTATGTGACAACTGTCTTGTATCGCCTGTCTTCCCCTGTCTATGGTTTCTTGCTTTTGGTTATGCTGCTTTGGTGGCTTTGAAGGAGCTGACAGTCCTAGATTTATTCTGTGTCACTTCCTTCTTTTGCTTATTTTCTTGCCATCTCTTGATTGCTTTCACGATAATCCTTGACTTACAACTGCAACTGGGACCGGAATTTCCATTCCTAAGCAATGAGGTTACTTTGTGAGTCACACCTGATTTTATAACTCTTTTTGCCGTGGTTGTTAATGAATCCCTGCAGTTATTAAGTGAATCATGCCATCATTAAATTAATCCCGCTTCCCCTATTAACTTTGCTGTTTGGAAACCAGCTGGAAAGATGGCAAACGGCAATCACCTAACCCTGGGCCGTGCAGCTATTGTAAATGCATCCCTGTTGCCAAGCGCCTACATTGTGATCATGTGTCCATCAGGGTGGTGTGATGAGTGCAAGAATTTGTTTTCAGTCACTTTTTTCAGTGCCGTCGGAAATTCAAACTAAATTCATAACCAATTGTTTGTAAGTTCTAGGATTAACTGCAGGTGTAGGAGGTTGTTTCTCATGCAATAAATAAAATATTGCTAACTGTAATATTCCATAGATTGAAAAGGAAAACAGTTTAAAAACAAAAATAAGTTAAACAAAGCTTTAAAATGGGGAAATTATAAACAGGAGTTAGGAGAAACTACAGCACAGGGGTGTCAAACTCGCGGCATCACGAAGGCATCCCGTGACATATTGGGACTTCTCCCCTTTTGCCAAATTGGGCATGGGTGTGGTCAGCATGTGACGCATCTGGCCCGCAGGTTGTGAGTTGGACACCACCTGCTGTAGGAAGATGCTGTCATGTCACCGTGCCCTCCCCGACACTTTCCTATAAGTTATGGGACAAAATACGTATTTCCAGATGTAGTGCTTAGGGGAGCTTTTCACTATAATTTTGTCTAAGTGAAATGTGTAATGGAAAATTGTCACAAATGATTTTTATCAAGAAAAATTTAATAACCTAGAAAAACACAGGAAATAGATTTATTGCCCTATACATGTGTACTTTGTTGTTGTTGTTGTTCCACACTTAACACTTTATCTTGTTATTTTTTTTCTAGGATAAAGACTTCTTGAAACCATTATTGCATAAAATTCATGTGAATCCACCAGCAGAGGTTTCTACAACGTTAAAAGTCTATCAAGGGCATGCTCTTGAAAAAGCCTACATGGGCGAAGACTTTTTTTGGGCTATTACACCAGTTGCTGGAGATTATATCTTGTTTAAATTTGACAAGCCAGCTAATCTAGAAAGGTAACCATTTTGTTTTCATTTTAATATGAAACATCTCCTGAGCAGAAGAGGTTAATGTCTCCTGATAGTAAATTAAACAGTGAAGACATCACAAATATTCCTTGACCACCACTGACCCAAATTTCCTTTGCTAAGCAAGGCAGTTACATGAGCTAGGCTTCATCCTATTATTCTGTTATGGCCTTTTTGCCACAGTTATTAAGCGAATCATTGCAGTTGGTAAGTCAGTCATGTAGTCATTAAGCAGGGGCTGCCACAAAGAAGAGGGAATCAAGCTATTCTCCAAAGCACCTGAGGGCAGGACAAGAAGCAATGGGTGGAAACTAAGGAGAGAAGCAACTAGAACTAAGGAAAAATTTACTGACATTGAGACCAATTAATCTGTGGCAGGACTTGCCTACAGAAGTTGTGGGTGCTCCAATACTGGAAGTTTTTAAGAAGAGATTGGATAGCTATTTGTCTGAAATATGGTATAGGGTTTCCTGCCTAAGCAGCAGGTTGGAATAGAAGACCTCCAAGGTCCCTCCCTACTCTTGTTATTCTACTCTGTTCTGTTCTGTTCTGTTCTGTTCTGTTCTGTTCTGTTCCGTTCCGTTCCATTCTATTCTATTCTATTCTATTCCCATTCCCATTCCCATTCCCA